TTTTTTAATGTCTCTGGAAAAATATCCTAAATATTTTGTTCAATTTTGTCACGGAGATCAGGCAATGAATACGACAAATACACAAGATTTTTCAAATAACACCGTATACAAAAATCCAAAGGTGTTAAGTCGGGCGACCTAGGTGGCCAAAGCACTGGATTATTGAAATGTGAAACAATTAATTTTTTTGTTATAATTATTCAAAAACATAACTTACTCTAACATGGTCAATTTTTATTTTTTTTTAACTGTTTTAAAGAATTAATTTAAGAAATTTCTTAAATGCAAAAAAAATTTTTTTTTTGAATTTTTGAATTTTTTTTAAAAAAAAATTGAATTTTATGCCATTCAATCAGAATTTCAATACTAATTATGGTAAAAAAAAACCACGTTTAAATATATTGATTTCCCGTGGAGATATTAAGGGTGATACGGGACTTATGAGACATTCTGTATAGTAGCCACTTTATTATCAATTAGTGATGGGCGTTATTGAATAATTATTATCGAATTATTCGATAGTCTTGCCAAGTTATTTATTCGAATAATCAATAACGATTATTCTAATAATTATTTATTATTCAATTGAATAATTATTTAATTTTTAAGTTCTTAAACATGGAGTTCCATTAATGGGGGGGGGGCATCGACCGTATTTTATTAAAATTATTCCAATAGTTTAATAATAATAATTATTATTATAATTATTGATTATAATTTAGTGGTTTATACATCATTAGTTACCAGTATCACGGTTATTAAGTTGAATTGGAGCAGAGCCCCCCCCCCCCATTGAAAATTCCTGGGAACGCCATTGCCATGGACAAAGATAGCGTATTGGATATACGCCGTATACCCTCCAAATACACCACTTATAATGATGGTATTTATCAAAAGTTTCACATTATTTTTTGTCCAAGGAGCCTAGTCTTGCATCCACCTGCAATAGACGCGCATCCTTACGAGTACAGTATACTCTATACGGCAGTACGTTTCACGTACAAAAAAATGAATTGCATTAAAAGAGATGTGTCAGTAGATCACCATAAATCGACAACGTAGAGTTATTTAAGCAGACCGGTGCGTGTACCCGAAGAATCCGAGTGCGTTCATACTTGCCCCGAATTACTGCTCCGTAACCAACATTATTCGAAATCGATAAAAAACGAAACGAAAACAAGTTTCTTGCGCTTGATAGTAAATTCGATTTGAAATATTATTGTTTCCTTGATTCACACGTCTATATTTCGCTGAGTCGCTTGGGACACGCGGACCACTGCCGGTTATACGACCGTGCCGGATGCGAGGGGTGAACAAGCGGTGTTCTTCGACCAGAAAATTACATTAAGCCCACCGCACGGCGACGAGGGTTGACGTCACGACTCGAATACGCGCTCGACGTGTCCCTCAGCGGCGTCCGATCGAATACACTGCAAGCTGTAGCGAGTGTATAACGGTTTTATGTTTGACGCGTCTTTTCTTGCTCCAAAAACGGATACATTCACACCATATTTGCGCGTTTCATATAACCTAAACCGTAGTGCTGTGTGCTAGTTACAGGAAAAATACTTAACGGGCATGCAGGGATAATAATTCACCGTTTAAGTTTGAATAGAAAAAATTGGAACAATTATTAAAATATTTTTATTTTTTTTTTCCCCAGTCACTTAATCGGTTCAATACAAAAATAAAAACATTTCCCGCTGAAAGATAGCGATTCTCGTCAGCACTAGTGACATACTCAGGATTTTTAAATGAGGGGGGGTTAGGTTATTACATCAGGTACACATAAACATATTTATACTTTTGTTATAGGTACCTACTTTATTTAAAGCATTTTAGTCAAAAAATATTTTGATTCCTTAATTGCTTTACATATCACATTAACCATAGTTTTCTTTTTATGGTCGCTAATTTATTTAGGATATCATCTGGGAGCAGTGGCGTAGCCAGGATTTTTTTTCGGTGGGAGGGATGGCTGATCAATTTTTACGCAGCGGTGATTTAGTGGATGCCAAAGTTATATTTTAGATTTTGGTTCCTATAACCCTAAACATATATTGGTTTAATAATACTCTTGTATACTTTAAATACTTTGGATATTGTATTTTATAATAATATAAAATAAGTTATTTTACACGTATTACTTGTTAGAAAAAAATAAATAAATAAAAATAGTAATGAATTTTTTGTTTTTTTAATAGGAAATAATATAGTAGACAAACATTTTATATAATAAAACTACTAAATAAACTGCTTAATAAACATGAGTATAGTATGATGAATACAAAAATTCACAATATCTATTTAATTACTTTTCAACATTTTTAATTAATTATATTATTAAATGACATAAAAGTGACAATTTTAACTATTAAACTTTTCCGCTGTTAACAAATGTATCAAATATTCGATCATCCGAAATTGCTATGTCTCTATGAATATACAATAATACAAGTCCGACAAGTCTTAGCTCTGAAGTTGAATTCGCGTTTCATGATTCGCAACCGATGCACAATATTATAAATTTAAAATTACAATATTAAATACCTACTATCACAGATAGCTATTAAGTGTTAATACTAAAATTTTTAAATATTTTTACTTTTTTAGCAATTTTCATAAACCATTAATATAATTTTCTTAACATAACTGCAGCCCTCTCAAACCCCCCTAGGGTACGTCACTGTCTGGGAGTAATATTATATCACTGAATGTATTCATCTTTGCCAAACCATTCAGTCTACCTTCACACGAGGTGTTTCACAAATACTTTTTTATTCTTTTTAATGTTGAAAAACATTATTTACAACTAACAGTTGTAACTGGGAAAATTTATTTATCTGTAGGAATTTGAAATTAGAAAGAAAATGGATATGATACATTTTTGAAGAGCGTTCATAGAATTTTTTTGTAAAGTTTTGAGTTTCTGCAATCCAAATAACTTTTATACATTTCAACTATCTGCTTAATTTTTTCTTAGTCAATTATACAATTTGATGGTAGTAAAATAAAATTAACATTTTAAATTATAGATCTGCAAAATTAAAATCGAACTATGATTCTAACTTTGGAAGGACTGTTGAAACTAATGAAAATCATCATGTCAAAGAAAAACGATTTATTAAAAATACTACTCTAGGTACGCGTTTGTAGATAAAGGGATTGAACACCGTATCCAAATAAAAACAGTCCTATGGAAACGCCGAAAAAACGAGTAGACTATACTCATATAGAGCAATAAAACATCAAATTCAATCGTTTTCCGAACCGTTTGATATTACGAATTTTCATCACGTTCAGAACTTCAAAGTCTACACACTATCGATATACGACGTTATTACAGGCGCGGATATAAGGGAGAAGGGGCTATAGGAGCTGAATTTACCATTTTAGACATTAGGTAGAACCATATCGGACGTAGGCAGGGCCGAAGTGGCTCCAAAATTCTTACCGGACAAACCGATATTTTCAGTCCACTTTTTAATATGAGCCCTACGTACATTGACATAATGCATTTTTTTTTTTAAATACGTTTATATAATTGTTTATGTCCAATCAATATACACAAAACATTGAACAGTGATCTCTCATCACATATGTCTTCTTATATTGTTTTTAGATTCACTGTAAACTATTATAATTTTATAGGTCCTAATACAAATATATTAATTTACAATGAACACATTTTATATTTCTTTTTATGAATTATTGTTCGATCTTTTGAAATTTTTTAACTTAAAGTTATTAGTTTTATTTTATTTTAGCTGTAAATTATCTACAAATTAAACGGTATAAGGTTTCAAAAAAATAACAAATATCTACTTTACAATGTTTAGTATTTATTTAATAATTAATTCTTATTTAATATAAAACAAAACTTATACTTATTAAGAAGCAATTCACACACATGTTTAACAAATATTTTCTTTTAAATAATTTCTAGATCCACGCCTAGCATCAAAGTCTGACATTCATACTACAGGTACAAGAACGACTACTACAGTTGATGAAAACTAGTCATCAACACATGCAGCTTAAATCTAAAACTGGAGAATTGTAATCTGTGATTAATCATTTGAAAGTAATTGTCGTTCCAACTTTTTTATACCAGTTTTCAATTTTAGAAGAAAAAATAAGTGCGGTATCATTTCATTATTTTATTATTCACTAAATATGGGACAAATATTGATAAAAACTATATGAAGTAGAAATCGCCATTCGGAATGCAAGAAATAAATTATCTTTTAGCTAAATTCATTGTAGTGATGGTTGGCGATTGTATTTGTTAACGCTTCCTGTCAAGTAAACAATATGTTGATCAAGTGTATATGTTACGGGCAAAGTGGAAAATTCAGACAATGTATACAATGCCCGGTCACTGTATACATTGTCCGAATTTTCCACTTTGCCCGTAACATATACATTTACAAATAATCTTATTTATCTTGTGTAGGTAATTTTATTACAAAATAACATTTTACTAAGCTTATATATTACTAAATTTTATCTTTAAAAGATTTAGTTATTACTAATTTACTAATTATTATAATATGGCAAAATTTTAATTAAACTTAGCTTCTACTTAAACAAAGTTACAACAAAGTGTTTTCTTTTTGGTGGAATACCAGCTATTTACTAATAATATAAACTTTCTAATTTATTACATATTATATTTATTTGTAGTTAATAGATAATATATTAAAAATTACAAATAAAGATAATTAAATACAATGTACAATTATTATGATCATAACTTAAAATAATATATAATACACAAACACTATATTTATACACACACACAAACACACATATATATATATATATATGTGTATGTGTGTGTGTGTAATTGTTATATTTTAAAAACATATAGTGCAAAAAAAAAAAAAAGATTAAGGAAATACACTATTTTATGTTATAAAATTAGAATATTTCTACAATGTAAATTAATCAAACTAATCTAGATAAGTTAATTTAAATTTAATCGATTATAAATAAAATTAAAAACAAACTTTATTTGTCCAGTATTAATAATCTGATAAATATTAAATGACCTTACTTAGGATTCTAAAAAATGTAATTACATACATACATTGTAAAAACTTTTCAGTTCCTTAAGGTTAGTTTATTTATCTATTCTTCTTTAAGAATAAAAGCACCATCAATAAAACTAATATTTAATGCATTTGCACCTACACATTTATCAAGTTCCATAAGCCTTCGGAATTCAGGCGATGCCAATAACTCTTCATCTGTCTTCACGTTCAATAAATCTGGTTCACGCATTGGAACCCTTACAACAATACGTTTTTTCTGGACATTTTTTTTGTGTTTTCCATAGTCTTTAATCTTATGAACAACTGTTGGTTCAGTTGGAGTGTCAACAAGATTGGGCTTCAACGATTCAAGGTCCATAAAATCCATATTATGATGAGTGTCGATAGTGAGGAGTTCTAATGCTAAAAAAAAAAGCTTAATTTTAATAAATTAATCATACCAAATACATAAGAATAAAATAATAGAATACGGAAAGACATCAAAAGTAATACGGTATTCTGCACTATAATAGCTGTCTTCCTGAGATTCTTGGGAAAGCCAAAAATAATTTCAGTAAATTACTTGGTTGTTTGCACATACATTATATTTTTAAAAACATCAACGTATTTATAAAGTTAAGTATAATTATGTGATATTTTTTATTTACACGGAAACCGATTAAAATACAAGTTCAAAAACAGTATACAAATAAATTATTTTGTCATTCGATAGTTTCGAATATATTCTGATTTCTATAATGTGGAGAATGTAAGTTTTATTCCAAGTACAGATTTACATTTTTATTCCGGGTCGGAACAAACTCATAACGAAGTCGCGTAATGGAAACCTACCACCGATACTGGCTGTTATGAGGTGTATTCGTATATTAGTATTATTATATTCGTGTATTAGTAAGGTGTACCTTACTAAGTTTTCATCGGCATACCATGTGGACAGCACGTACGTTCCTTCTGATTTCGAAAAATAATTAATCGTAATGTATAGAATCATAATAAACTAAGTTGGTTTTTCACTTGATAGCTTATATGCTGTATTTGTGAGTAATCTTTATCAATAATTATGAATGGAAACCTACAAGGGTCCAGTAGCGTATCCGACTGTAGGCTATGGTGGAGAGAAACTTTTTTTAACATAGCCTAAAAACAAGTAGGTATATCCAGATGACCCAATTAATATTATTGAATATAAAGCAATTAAGTATTATGTAAGCACATTTTTTACCACTCCTTTCCCATGTCAGCATAAGTTGGAAAATAACTACCCTCTTTTTACCTTACGTCAATCTTTTTCATAGACTCCCACTAAATTATTTTATTCTTATTAAAAAAATGTATTTCTTCAATTATCAAAATAAAAATAATAAGAAGAATATTAAGTAGTTTTCCGATGCTGTCGATAATTCATCGACTTTTGCTTTTTTCATGCGTTTAGCTCGAATTTCGATAGATATGCACCGACATTAGATTTGAGATTTAGCACCTCTCCTACCATATCAAGTACTGTCAGATTTCTCGAACTCCTTCCCTGGTTTCTGACATAATATTTGAATAATCTCACACAAAATAAAAATGTATTAATAATATTAATTATATATGTAGATAATACGAGTTAGCACAGGGTCGTAATCAGATCAAACCCACTCCCCCAAACCTTATTTTTTCTTCAAATGCTTGTTATTTTTTATTTATGTCACACTAGAAAAATATATAAATGTGAGCACATGTATGAAGTTCATCTTTGCTATAAAAGGGTATACGGACACCTTTGAGATAGAGAAGAGCGCCATCCTGAATACGTGGACAATTGATTCATCAACAAGACCAAAAACAGTTCTTTATTATTAAAGAAAAACTATCAAACATTTTAAACTGTTAAAAAGAGTACTAAGCATGATTTGAAAACTACGATTTCAATACCCTTCTAAAGACTAGGGTTCGTTATTTCAAGGTCTAAAGAACACATGAATATACACTTATACAATTTAAGAATCCAAAACTATGAACTAAGAATATGCACAGAAAAAAAAGTCAATTTTTAAATAATAAAAAATACCTCATCATATTGTTAAGTTAGATATTCACTATTTTATTTGATTTTATGCATTTCATAACACTCAAGTAAATTATTTTTTTTTAATCAATTACTTTTTCAACTTACTCTGAAAAATGATTTCCCTCTATGTATTAATATTATCATCACCCATGCTTATCAAAATATTTATATCCAAATCGTAGGAGTGAAATTAATTTTCTTATATTCGACCATACGTTTTGGGGTTATAATTTTAAACTAAGTTTATATATTATCAGAAATATCCAAGAATTATTTAAATTTTACTAGATCATTAAGGTAAAGAAAATTAAATTTAAATAGTTAATTTCAACTCATTATATTATTTATTCATTTTATTAAATAATATGTGTAGTTAAATATTAAATTAAGCTATGTGAATAAAATATTGATGTACAATGAAATACTGTAATAAAATTACAATCACTGTATAATTTGTCGATAAATGGGGCAAATTTAGTACCGTTGATTAAGGTACAACAGATTTATGCTTGCCACTAGGGCCCCTTGCCCCTTACAGTTTATACAATAGTTTGTAGCTATAAACACATTTGAAAACTTTTTTTTTTAATGATAACTTTCAAATAATGGTGTACTATATTACGATAGTAGTAAAATATATTATATTTTAATTTAGCAATATAAATTATTAAATACATTTTTATTAATTTGATATTGTAATGAGGCACAATACTTTTAGCTTAATCATTAATTATTATGAAAATTTATATAATTTAAAATCTAACCAAAAAGTTTAATATGTAAATATGTCTTTCATAAATATCATAATTTTTGGCATATGTGATGATATCATGTATTTAATACTCAAAATTAAGGGGCGTTTAAAAGCAAAATAACTAGTCAAGTATGGACTTAAATATTTAATAATAATTTGAAAAAAGTATGTTCAATATTTTTTCTTTAAATAATTAATTCTAAAAATGGGTTTGTAAGGTTCCTAATATTTTTGACACTCCCGAAAAATAACCTAAAATATTCCACTGAAAATAACTTCAGAAAAACATGAATTTATATTCTTGCTTAAAGGTAGATAGGGAAAGATAAATAAATTGATTGAATTGAAGTAGAATCACTTAAACCAACTTACGAATTGAACACACAAAAAGAAGAAAATTTCAAAAAAATATATATTTTTCTTTAACTTAATAATCTTCATAATACAATCTATACAATTTTATAATATCACAAAATTATAATTTCTTTAATGAACCAAAAAAGTAAACAAAGTTTTATTTTAAAATAAGCATAATTTATTTCAAATGTTGAATAGTATTAAAACTAATAAATTAAAAAAAAAAAAAATTATGAATTATTTTCAACTTTTTCTTAAAAAGAAAAAAACAATAATATCTAATGATAATAATAGTAAACAATTTTTAATGACGCATTAGAAAATATATTTCTTTAAATTTAAGCTATAATTTAATTTTTTGCAATAGTTTTAAAATATAAGAATATAACTTGTTTATTCCTATCACTATAGATTAATACTAATATAATTAATAATAGTTATAAATATACCTATATTCCTCTATATATTTAAATATATTTATCTATAATTAGATCTACAATTATTTATCCATTTAAATAAAATCATTATGTAACATAAATAAAAAATAATTATGAATAAATTTAAACACTGACTTTCAATAATAAATATTTAAGATACAAGATATAACATGTCATACTGCAACAGAATTTACCATAAAACACAAACCCATCTACCAAATATAATAAAACCTTTCTAGAGTAAATTCTATTAGGATATAAATGTACACTTTATTTCAAACATCATATACCTTTAAATAGTATGTATTAATTATGTTCTTAATTCCCATGAGTACCTGTTTAAAGATTGCACATAAATAATAGAACCAACCATATTTTAATATATATATATTCATTATTAATATTTTGTACACAATCTATATATTCACTAATTTATGAAATGGTCATAACCATTGATACTTCTTAATATATCATAATATTTAGATTCTATATTATAATAATATTTATATAAATTTATATAAAAAAAAATATAAAAAAACAAATTAAGAGACGTAAATATTTATAAATATACATTTTCATATTCTGCTATACTTCTATCAAACCACTTAATTTATCTAAGGCTTTAATTTGTTCTACTCATATTAAAAAACTAAAACATTTCAAAATAAAATTTAATAATAAAAAACACATCGGTGTGTGGCAGTGATAGATGATGAAGAAAAAAATGTGCATCTTATTTCAAGAACATACCATTTACATTCATGTGTATATTTTTTATCAAGTCCTCATATAGAAATAAAAAATAATACACATGGAGTTACAAATACATGAACGTATCCAAAAACTTGACGAATCTGGTTGTGAAAGATCGTTCAGTTTCTGAATTGATTTTACTCGATGGCATTTCACCAACCAAATTATCACCTGAACATACATCTTGTTCAAATGTTCAAGGAGTTTCCTTCAAAAACTCAGGCAAATTACTCTCATTGCTAGTTGGCAGCTTCACTGCAGGAGAAAATTATTTTAATAATAAAGTAATGCAAAAATTAAAAATATTAATCATAATTAAATAATTTTAAATTTTAGTAAATTTAACTGTCATTTATAAAGAAAAAAAATGGTGGTAATTTTTAATAAATAATAAATCTAAAAATATTTTAAATTAATGTAGATCAAAAACTTGTTAATACAATTATAATTATTACAAAGGTAAATCTAAAGCTGTTATATGAAATATATTACAAACAAAAAAATTAATTAAATTAATGCAGTAGAATATTATTTAAGGCTTTTCTTTTAATAAAAATAATAAAATCCTGTATGGTTAATTATATGAAATAAAAAAACCCTGATAATTTTTGACCAAAAATAATAAAATCTTAACTAAATTAGTGGTGATGTATTAAATAAAAAAATAAAACCGAAATAACAGTGCAGGAACATACATTATTAACTCTGAATACATTCTCAATAATAATAAACACTTTTTCAAAGGATAGTTATTTTGATAGTATTAAATGTTGTATAGTAAAAGTTAAAAAATTCTTTGAATATACTGGAAAAATCACTAATTTGTACAATATAGGAAAATCAATGTTCAAAACAATGATAGATATTAATATAAATAACGGGTTTTAAATTCATATAAAAAATTAAACATATTAAAAAAAATGCTATGTCATATTCAAGATAAAAATAAGTTATTTTATGTATATAACAAGATTAGAAGATGAACGATTGTAAAATTTAAATATTAATTTAGGGGATGCCCGTTTCTACCAAAAGTAGACCTTTCCCTTTTCCACCAAAAGTGTATAATTCCCTTTTTCACCAATATTCGTTTTTCCACCAAATGAGATATTGACCACGTTTTTATTAAAACAATTGTATACTATGCTTAAATTAAAAGCTATAGCATAGAAATAACTTTATTTAACATAAACTATTAATTCGATAAATTTAAAGGCATTATATAATATACACAATATAGGTTGGGAAATGTTAAATTTTATTTAAAAAAATGGTCAGATATAAAAAAATGAAAAAATAATATATTATGATATACAATACCTTAGTTATGTAAATTGTAACTATATATAATTAGTTGATATTTGTTAACTGATCCAATAAAAAATTTAAAGTTGTTTAGTACTAGTGTTTTATTTCCACATTTACTTTTGATAACTTTAGCCATCATAGAATTACAAATTTTAAAATGTACGTTTTATTTTAACACACACGCAGTTGTAATGCACTATTTAAACTGTGCCATTTTTTCACTAGTTCATAAAGTATTTGATTATTGATTATAATGGTTAATGGACATAAAAGTACATGTATAAGTACGATATTGGTTTAACATACAATTAAATACAATAAATGTACAATATACATTGATTATATTGTGTGTATATTTATAAATATTTTACATTAATCCAAAAAACTCATGAAAAGTATAGGTATTTTATCTTAATTGGTGGAAACGGTTATTGGTGGAAAAGGGAAAGGTCTACTTTTGGTGGAAACGTGTTTCGCCCATTAATTTATAGTATCAGGATAATGAAGCATATGATAAGAACCTTTAGAATATTAATATTTAGAATAAGATAGAACTATTTTAAACTTTTATTAATTGCTTGTATAAAAAACTAAGTTTTCAGCAGTTTTTTTAAGATTTAAATATTAATGTCTAACTAAAATAAAAAATAACAACTGCACAGTTATTCATAGATACTCCAAGATACAATAATCGTGATTTTAGTAAACCAATCTTATGGTTAAAAAAAAATAATAACAATAATATTATCTATATATGCTAGGTAACCTACAATAAAGTAATAATTGAAAACACTTATAATATAAAACTAAACATACCTAAATACACAATAGGTATATAATATATTAAGTCAATTTTGTCTAAATTTAATAATTAAACTAACTTTTATTTAATTAATTTTGATAATCGAATAAACTATTAATCACATTGGTATTAAATTAAGTAAAAAATCCAAATTTAGTTATAAAAAATAAATATCAACAAAAATAAATGTATTGTACTACAACACGTGTACAGAAAACAAATTGTAAATTTTTAAAATCTTGATATATTTATATATTTTATACTCTTATTTCATTGAATAATATTTGAATTAAAGTTTGAAAACATCCATTCGTAATATTTCATATCTATGAAATAATTGAACTGTCATTAATGTTTTATTATATTATTATAGACCAGGGAAAAATAACTCAAAATAACTAAAAGGTCAATTAAAAATTTAAAATCTATTAAGCCAGAGTAAAAGAAAAATAATGTTATTAAAATTCACTATTAGTATTTATTTTATATATTTTAATTTTAAAACTGAACCAATAAAATAAAATAAATACATAATAATATATAAAGCTATGTTAGCTATGCTGATATGGATATATTTTACACTTAATAATTGATATTTAATCATTTAGCTGCAGTTCAATACTAGATAAAATATCTATATTTTACGATCAATGTAATAAAATTAAATATCAATAACCACTAAAATGTTATTAAGTAATTTGGAAATGTAGCACGGGCTAGATGCAGCCCCCCATTTATATATTTAATACCATTTCAAGGATACATGAAAACAATTTGAATGAGAATCATAGTATTTTAATATTGGTATTAATTATAAATTAAAGTTCAATTAAAAAATAATAAAAATAATTACGTATTTTATTTATAATATTCTTATTATGCCAACAATTTTTTTTACAGCAGTATAATTTTCTAAAAAATATAAATTTTTTAAATCTATTTCAAACATTTATATTTAACTTAAATATATTAGCAGTAGCAGCAGTAAGATACTTATCTAGATGGTCTTTGATTAGCTAGAGTAGAGATTCTCAAACAATTTTTTCATATACCACATGTGTATATTATCAATCAGTCACATACCACTAATGATTAAAAATAGAACCATACAAACTTTACAGAGTTAAATACATTTATTTTAAATAAAAAAAAACAGTAAAATACCAAAATAAAATTATTATTTATTTATTAATAGAAATTTATTGGTGTTTTTAAATTAGTATATGAGTTAAATATTGAATTTTTAATTTCCGTTCCACCACCCTGTACGAGCTTGATTTTTTCAGTAATGACTAAAAAGAGATAATCCAGTTCTTACTATAAATATATAAATAAATAAATAAATATATATATATATATATATATAATACTAGGTGACATGTCACGTCTTTAAAAAAAAAAAAAAAAGGTTAATGAAAACATATTGAAATGTTTCTAAAAATAACATAAAATCTCATGTTAAAATCAAAATCATTAGATAGTTCGGGTTCCTAGTTCGAGAAAACCCCATGTATAATTGTCTATGCAAAAATCATTCTGAACATACCTAAATGTTTGACCTTGAGATTTGATAATCATAATTGAAAACATATATATATAGTATAGTTGATATTTTACAAGGAAGGTTTAGGTGAACGTTTTATAGATAATTGATAATAAATTTAAAATTAAAATTAAAAAAAAAAAAAAAAACTATTATAGTCAACTTGTGCGAAAATAACATTATGATTTTATTTTTTGATGGGGAATATGTACTGTTATTGCTGTAGTAAATTGAATCTTAAATGTATATATACTATAGTTAAGTGTAATTAGGATTAATCATTTTTGTTTTTATGAGGATTTTGTTGAAAAATATTTGTTTTTTTATTATTAGTCAACAATAAAATAAATTAACGTTAAATAAATTATCAGCAACACATCTACTATAAAAAACCAACTGGGTTAGCTCGTTAATTATTAATGATTGATAGTAATAAAGATTTTACAAAAACATCATCAATTTATAGAGTTGGAAAAGTATTGTTTTTTTTTTTTGTTTTAGATCCCAGTTGAAACAAAAAAAGTTAAATATTTGAAAAAAAAAAAAAATTAAAATAGTCAAATATTTAATTTAAGTTGAATATAAGCATAAATTTATATTAAATTAAATTAAATTATTTGTTAAGTCGAGATTAATATTCGACCAAATCTATAAATTTAATAAGAGACCATAAATTCAATACTATTATTACATAAGAAAATAAATTTAGATATTGACACAGAGATAAAACATAAATAGTAAGTAGATGGCGCCAAAATACAATCAAGAAACTACTTACATTTAGCGCCCCTAGTGGTTTATAAGTCCCCACAAATTACAAATCAAGTGAATATAAATACAATAATGAAACTAATTAAAACATTTTTTTGACTTGGTATATGAATGGCGAATATTAATAATAAAAATTTGCCAAAATAACAATATAAACTATTAATTTAAATACATCAGTAGTTTTTCAACAGATACACTATCTAAGCCAAATTACATAGGTCGAAGAATCTAAATTTCATTAAAATGTGACATTTTCAATTTTTGCACAAAACCACATTTCTATAATAAATTATATTATATCCATAAGATAATCAACAGCAAACTGTTCACACAATACTAATAAACAATTAAATAACTACAGAACTTTATCATTATCATAGTACAGTTAATAATTTAAAAGCCAGAGAGCGCTACATGTCAATGTATGAACTCTGAATAACCTTATCATAAAATAAACATTTCTAATAATTCTAAAGTTGTTTTTAATTTTCAATACTCAGTTTTAAAGAACATATTAAGATTTAAGTCCTATAATAAATATATATCTTTTTAATAAATAATACTAATAAGTTTATATTCATTTTATTTTTGGTAATTTATAGTTTTTGCTTAGTTTGTTTATTTAAAACTAATAAGCATATAAATAATTTTATAAAATTTTAATAGTATATATAAATATATATATATATATATATATACATATATATTTAGTTATAAAATCATATATTTATTTTTTACCTTCTTGAAGACCGTTTTGTGAGAATGAATCCCAAGAATCTTCTTTAATCCAGTCAGGCGAAGGCAATCCATCAAGCAAACACTCGTAACGTCCATTTTCTGTAGGATCAACAACACCTTCCGCACCAATATTTTGTATCTGTGCACCGTCAACATTAGAACACAATTTTTTATTTTCATCATCAATACCCATATAGTTAGATTCTTCATTGTCATTGGACTGTGGTATTTCTACAGGACTTGTAATAAGATCATCAGCTTTAACGTTGTTCTTAACCATTGTTTCATTTTCAGGATTAGTTATATCTTTATCCAAGTATGTATTTTCAATCAGTGATTCACTTGACTGATTATCTCCAATCAGTTTACTTTTATTACTTGAAATATTGTTCATTGATTTTTCCAAATCACTTATTTGATCCAAAGTGTTAACAGTTTTTTTTAATAATAGTTTACTACTTTCAATTTCATTTTCAAAATCATTTGTGTGTCCAGTTTCAGAATCATTAACATGTAGTTGAGACCCCAAGATTGTGCTGGTAATAAATTCTTGATCACATTTGCGACCAATAGAGTCATTCATTTCACCAACAATAGTAGAATTAAAATCAGATTTAGATGGTCGTAAATCTGAGATAATATTTGAACTGTCATCCTCTTCAAAATCAAAAACTCCACCAGAAATATTTTCATTTGATTTGCTCAGAGAAGGTATATCTTCCTCAACATCTTTATCTAAAAAACCACTTGTCTCTTGAGGTATATTTTCAACCACATTATTAACTTCGCTTGTATTCTTACTTTTATCATCTTCAGTTGTACTTTTGTCTAAGTCATTTTCTTTACCACCTTCAATTGTATTCGTATCAAAAGCTTTTTTATCCTCATCTTTTTCTTCATCTTTTTCAACTGTATTAGTATCCAAATTATTTTTATCTCCATCTTTATTTGCATCTTCAGCTTCATCAAAATCCCAATCCTTGAGGAGTTCATCATGTAATTTAATTTTTTTGGTACATGATTTTCTGTTTCTTCCATAATTTCGTTTAGTTGATGTTGGTGATGATAACTGAGTATTGGTATTCAAATTATTACTGCTTGTTGCAGATTGCTTCATAAGTTCAGCCTTAGCTTTATGGTCAGCAATATGTCGTTTTAAAATGTCAAAACGAGTAGTATTGAATGTACATCTATTTTGTTCACCAAAATAACAGAAATATGATTTAGTAGCAGAGGTATTACTTGTAGTAGTAGAAGGTTTAGGTTTAGCTTTTGGTGTTGAAGGTTTTATCTTATTAGGTAAAGGAGCAGATATTTTTGTTGCTGGTAATGATGGTCTACCTCTAACTGTACCCGATTTTCTAGCTTTTGTTTTTCTTGATTTTTCTGTAGTAAAAAGTTCATTTATGTTTATTTTAAGAGGTTTCTCGTCCTCTTTTTCTTCAAATTGTTCAAAAATATTTTCATCTCCACCAATTTCCTTTTCAAAACTTTTTACGTCAGCAACAAAATGTGTCATATTAAAGTACAATTTTTCTTTGTTACTTTTTAATTGTTTTTTATATAACACTGCAAAATAAATATAAATAATATAAAATAGAGTTAATATAATATTAAAAAGTTCAAAAATAAATACTCACAATATCCTTTTTTGAGAAATTCAAGTTTTCTGTTACAGTTATACATAGCAATCTTATTTATGTTAACAACACCTTCACTATAAAAACAAAAATGTCATTAATATCTTATTTTTTTATTGGTATGATAACATGCATTCTTTAATTAAAATTAATACTTACTACATTGACGCTTCACTTAAAAAACCAACTACACAGATTATCTTTTTCTTCTTAATGAATTCTTGATACGATTCAGGAGTTGTTGATTTATCAACTACAATCCCCGGCCACCAAACATGATTTAGTAACAAGACCCAGACCTTATCGCCTAAATTGTAAGGGTTTGTTTGGTCACACATTATCAATGACTATTTCTCCTATAAAAAGATAATAAATTAAGAATTATAGATTTATTTGGAGATCAATATACTTAAATAGGGTAATATGATTGATAAAACAGACATATTTATAACTATTTTAATATATAGGATTATCTTATTTTTAACTTTTATTTTATTTTTATAATTTTATTAGTTTTTTCAAGTTGGAAATGCTAGTGATATTACCAACAAAGAAAAATTATTTTAGGTTAACAATAATCCTTTAATGTATAAATTATCCAATTGTATTGTAGATAACAGATTTTAATATTATTAATTTTATCATAAAAAAAACTTGGTTATATAAATATAAATACATACTTCATACCCAATTTTACCAAAAGTAAATAAAGATTATTTATTTCAATCAAAAATATTTCTGTGAGCAAAAACGCAGAAATTTACCATTTTAAATATTTTATTAAAACTTTTCTATTTTAATACTTATACCACATTATGACAATTAAATACACCAAGTTATAGGACATATAATTGTTTAAAATCGGAGAACTAACTTTGAATAATAGTTGAGCCATTATTAGTACAAGGAATGAATTATTGAGTATATAATTAATTCTAAATGTATGTTAATACCTGATATGTCAATATTTCAATATAACGCAATTGCTACACAAAATTAAAATTAAAAATACAACACACATAAATATTTGCTACAATATGTACGCATCTCTAAAGTTTATCAGATATACTTGAGCATCAGACGTTTTACCAAGGATTAAAGCTGTGAACATTAATTTGATACGCGGCATCTGTACATCCATCACTAGATGGTAAATTTACAACTCGTAATGAGGTGGAAATTAGTGAGGACTGAGAATGTGATGGACAAATACTTACAAACAAAAAAACGAAGTATGTTGATTCAGTCCCGAAATGATTTGATTACTACGTGTACTTAACTAAAAAATGACGTTAAAGCATTTATGAGTACAAACAACATTTATCAGCACGCCTCGACTACCTCACCGTTAATCGGAGGTATTCATAAACGCAGTATGCGATCTATAAGTTGTCGACCAAGATTTAAAACTATACCAATCGGCACTTAAGAATTGGTTAAACTAAAAGTAACACGATTTTAGAATGATGACAAGAACGGCACACAGACGAAGTGGATTAAAACGTAACAACGAACACGGACATAAAAATAAAAAAAAACGCCTATGCGCGATGTGCAAATGGCATTACGGACAACGGGTAAGGCGAATGACAATTAGAATCATGAATGACGCCATTAAACTCTGAAACGCCGCGACGCCACCGCTATAGACAGCGATCGCTTGGTTCAGTGAGTACCACAACATTACGTCCGTGTCAAATTGGTAACCATGTTTTTGTACCTTCAACACGCGCCAACAATTTCAAACGACTTTAAAATAGTAAAACTTTCTTTTTTTTTTATTGTATAACATTTCTGGTGCATGGAAGTGACGACATTCATTGTTCGAAATTGAGTCAATTTGAGTACTAGATTTCATAATTGCATTTTTTTAACTATTTTATTGGATTCTACAGGTAATTAATCTATTAAAAACATTTTTTATTTCTTGATAAAAAAATCATGCAATGAAGGATTAAATGGAAAATTTTTTTATTATTAATTTAAGGTGTTGAGGTCTATTATAAAAGCACAGGTTTATCTCAATTGTATTAGTAGTGTAATGTACATGGGCATTAGTGTTGCTCTCAAGAATTTTATTTATTTTATTTTTCAAGGAGTTTAATCTACAGCTATAGATAATTAATATTTTAATAATATTAATATTAGTTATAAAGTATTTGTAATAATAATATTATCTATAATCATGGTTTAACCAAAATACAATGAGTTATCACAGTCATTCATCATTCAATTATTATCAATTATTTATTTTTTTTTGTGGAACAAATAAATTTATATTGTAATTGTAATAATTCTTTCACAAATTAATGACTACTTAATAATTAATGACCAAGACTGTTCCATATGGTATTGAATTTGATAAGAAGAATTAAATTCTTATAAATTTAAAAGATGTTCTTCCAGAGAACCAAAATACATTCTGGAAGAATGTTATCAGGAAAACTTCATTAGAACTTAATTTCAAAATTGTAATACTCAATTAAAATATATTAAATTGTTTGATTAAAAAAGTCTCTTAGCTAGGTAATTGCCTAATAATTTTTTATTGTATTTAAGTAATTAATTTTTAACTATCTGGTCTATTCTAAGACTGAAATTTTTATTTATTCAAAATGTTTGTTATAAATAAGATGGTCCTTTTTTTTTATATCTACTAATTTGTTTTTATGTGATATAAGTCTATTCAAAAATCTGAAATGATTATTTATTACAAAAGAAATATCAGTTTTTTATTGTATAACTATTAAATAGTGTATATGCGATATAATAGGTCCATTCAAAAGATTGAAATGGTTTTTTTTTTCAAAACATTTATTGTAAACAAGCAGTTACATTTTTTTTATTCTATAATTTTTTAATTGTTTTTATGCGATATAGGTCGATTAAAAAGTTTCAAATTTTGCTGTTTTATAATATTTAAAGATATTATTTTTATTTTTTTTTAATTTGAATATTTAAATTTACTAAAATAAACATACTAAATGCAATTTACATTGTTTTATTTTATTTATTAGTATGATATTTCAATAAGTGGAATGCCCATTTTACACTACACCAGATAATAGTTTTAAATTTTAATTCATATAAATGTGTACTTTTTATAATAAAAAGTTTCTTTATGGAGATACTGCATTTATTAAAGTTTATTTTTCTCTTAATACACAATAATACTAGATACAAATGCAGTATCTCCTTAAATATGAAAAAAAAAACAAAATAATGATCAAAGAACAAAAAATTGAGAATGCCTATGACTAAAGCACGGATTTCTATGTAAAAACATCTTTTTAATGTATGGATGACTTGAGAGTAAGATATGTCAGCAATTCATAGTACAAAGAATCTAAATACAAAGTTTTATTTTGCATATAAAAGATGTTTTTAATTTTGTTTTCGTTTTTATTAATTGATTTTGAAAATATCGTTTTTGTTTCACCTTTTTTTAAAACGTTATTATTTTTTTTAATGTTTCCAAATAACGTTTTTGTTTTTTTTTTTTTTTTTTATTTTTTTTTTTTTTTTTAATGTTTCCAAATAACGTTTTTTATTTTTTTTTTTTTTTTTTTTTATATAAACTATTATTTCTTATACCTAGGGTTGCCACAAATTTATAAGGCGAAATCAGGACAAAATAAACAAATTATTGAGTAATATAGGTACTTTTAATATATTGAGAGAACCAGTGGCGTATACAAGTGGGGGTTGTGGGAGCAGATCCTCCATAGGCGTTTTTTTTAAATGTTATAAAATAATTTTCTTAGTCTGAGGGCGTTAGAAACGTAAAAAAAAAAAAATGATGAAATAAAAAATAATGATTTGTTTGCAAATGATCGCTCCCCTATCCCACATATAAAATTTATGTATACGTCACTGAAGAAGGCTATTAAAGGTCGGTAATATAATATCTAAAAAAATTTTTGTAAAATAAAATATAATATATGTCTAAATTACAAATTATGTTTTTATTATATATTTTTATCAATTACGATTAAAAATGTACTTTGAGATTAACTGGTCGAAATTAAAAATTAAACAATACTGCATTTCCTCTAGACGTCTAAGCCGAGACATAGGGACATCCCGAAAACATTTTTCGGGACACAAAGTCCAAAACCAGAGACAATCCCGGTTTTCCGGGACGTATGGCAACCCTACTTATACCTAACTTTAAGGGCGGATCTAAGATTTTATCATGGGGGGGGATATAAAATATTTTCGTACATAATATGTATAGGTATGATAAGCTTTATTCTACTAAATTTACAAAATAAAATTTAATTTTCTTGATGACTGTGCCATTACTCTATGGTTGTATCCCGGGTCATGATATAAGTACGAGGTGTATATCCGTAATCTGATATAAAGTTAGATACTAATGTTTACTAGTGTAACCTTATTGGTTACGAAATAATGAAAACGAAATAATAAAAAAATAGTTTTTATTTAAATTGTGCATGCAAAAATTGAATTGGTTGCAAAAAAATTTTTTTAACTCTCGGCCCACGGGGGGGGATCTATCCCCCATACCCACCCCCGTAGATCCGCTACTGCCTAACTTATAATAGTTACAATGAATATTCAATATACTGAATATAGGAATGCACTTAAGTTATAATTATTCTTAATATTTAAAATATAAATTTCAAATAAAAATTATAATTTATATTTTATATGAAAATAAGAAAATTTAAAGTTATAAACCCTAACAAACATAGACTTGTTTATCTTTATATATTATTAAAACGTGAGGCGATTTCTTATGACAGTTATATCTAAAGTTCTACAGGACCGATTTTCATGATTTTTTTTCTTAACGAAAGTACTCGGTGTGTAGATGAGTCATCAAAAGAGAAAAATCAAAAAAAAAATAATTATTTAAATAGTTATTAGAATTATAAAGATTGCCGTATTGATAAATTACCATTATCTATTCAACATGAATTAATTGATAGCACAAATCAAGAAAAACGTGATATTATACGCACTATTATGAAGTATGTGAGTCTTGAAAATACAAGAGTTCCTAATGCATATTTTATTGATGGACCTGGTGGTATAGGGAAAACATTCATCTATAAATGCCTCATTAACAATTGCATAAAAATGGGTTACGATGTAATTCCGGTTGCTTGGACTGGAATAGTAGTATGTTATTACCCGGGGGTCGCACAGTACATAGTCGATTTAAATTACCTTTGATTTTGACGGATACTTCAGTTTCATTATTAAAGGTTAATAGCAAAGAGACATCAACTATTCGAAAATCAAAACTTATTATTTGGAACGAAGCTCCTAGGGCAAGTGTGTATGCGTTAATGGTTGTTAATCGATTATTAAAAGATATAATGGAAAACGAAGTTTTCACTGGTGGGAAAGTTATTGTCTTGGGAGGAGATTTTAATAAAGTTTTACTAGTTGTAATTTAAATGTCACCTCCAATCTACTGAATGGCACAAGATTTATTGTACGAAATATATATGATCATTCTTTAGACTTGAAATCTATTACTAGTCAGCGTTTTTTATTGCCTAGAATTGATTTGACCCCGTCAGATTCAACTCTTCCTTTTTCATCTACCAGACGTCAATTTTCGATAAGAATAGCTTTTGCTATGACAATAAACAAAGCGCAGGGTCAAACATTGGATAAAGTAGAATTGTATTTACCCCAACATGTATTTAGTCATGGTCAACTTTATGTTGCCATGTTCAGAGTTAGATCTTATGAAAAGTTAAAAATACAAATAATACCAAACAATTAAAAAGATATAAAGAATATATTTTATAAAGAAATTCTATAATAATAATACACAAATTCGTTGAACTTCATTTGTTTATCAATTTTTTTGTTTTAGGTGAAATATTTTCAGTTTTCCCGTTTATAAATATATTACGTATACCTTCTATAGTATCTATAAATGTAATTAAAGCTCAAGAAATTAAATTATTTTCTATTTTATGTTCTTCCTATACGTTAATTGCATATTATTCTAACGATGTATACATGATACATTCTTTATATTTATTTATTATATACAATTATTCAACTATTTGATTTTTTTACCGTAACACGGCAGTGACGGGTAATTCAGTCAGTTCTTGATTTTAAATACCGTATGGATATCAGAATAATGAATGTTAAATAATTTAACCATTTAAGAAAATATTTAAAAAACAATCACTAATAAAGTAAAAACTATAGTCATGTTATTGTTACTATTAACTATAATAGCCAATATGGTAATGAGAGGTATAATAAATTATAAAACAAAGTCAATTCCTAATCAACTGCTAAAATCAATAGATAATATAATTATCATATTATAATAAAGCGGCAGCCATGTTATTGATTATACTATGAACCATGACCATCATCATGAAAGATAATAGAATTTTACAGTCACCACTGCAATGTTTATGTGACATGTGGACTGTAATTAATTATTGTGTTATACTATTAACGTGCTTGTATTTCACTGCTTGTACGTCACTTGCCACGTGACGTGTATTTAACCAGACCGTGTTCTATGAAAATGTGTGATACCCATAGTCGCAAATTGGAGAGCTTGTGTGTGTGGGGGGGGGGCTAAGCCCCCTAAACTTATCCGTAGCCTTCTAAAAAT